CTTAAGAAAATAGTTAATATTCGGTTTAATTTGCTAATATTTTGCTGTTTAACAAAAATTTATATGGTTAGAAAGTCATTGGTATTTATGTATCGAATAACGAAACTTTCAAATTACAAGTAATTTAGAGAAATTTCTTATAATTTTGTGATTAGTATAAAATAGTACATGAAAACATATACATCTTATGCATATGAAAAATGAGACCTACTAGATAATGATTTTGGGCTAGATTACGCATGACTACGGTCCTCATAAAGCTAGGTGTGCCAATAATAGGCTGCATAGCGGCAAAATCCCGTTTACGGGTTACTAATGTATATTTTACCGTTCTGTTAACATTGAAGATCATCCTAATATTGCTTCTTCAGAAAAGCCTACACAATATACGACTCTGTATGAAATTCATGTCAGTTAAAGAACTTCTTGTAAAAGTGTAAGAATATGCGAAGAAAGTACGCTCGTAGGCTTATTTTTAGGGAGTGATTCTACATGCAAAAAGGAGTCGAAAAAAAGAATAAATTTTTTCATTCGATGTTTTGTTATCAAGAAAATCGACATTCAATATTCACTGAGTACGCGTGCACTTAACCTTTTCGCTAAGGCGAGCGTCGCCTCTCCTATAGAACGAAGCAATGTGTCAAAGATGGTAACATTACAATAATGCAATCTTTAGCATTCGGTTTTTTGACGCAAATTTTTCGAAGAAAAAAAGAAAAGAAAAAACTGACCATCGCAATAGTGCTTACAATTCTTTGCGAAGAACGCTAAGAGGAACGGTAGCACTTGTCTTAATTTTTTACTAAATTTTTGTAGCCGGTGACTATAGTCACCCGTTGGGTATAGATGACGTCTCGTGGCCGGTGACTATAGTCACCCGTAGTAGCGAAAGGGTTAAACGGGGAATGGATCATCACTCAGTGGATATTCAAAATCGATTTTTTTGACAACGAAGCTTCGAATCAAAAAATTTTATTTTTTTTTTTTTCGATTCGTTTCTGCATGTATAACCCCCCCTCCCCTCCCGCTTGTACTATCATTACTAGGATATCTTGTATAATGTCCACTTCTCGACTTTTCTGATATTACACAACCAATAAAATCGGTTTCATGCTGAGAAACTATCAAAACAAATCGTTATACATGTGCCAATGCGTTGCGGTACACAAGATCGTGAATCGGTTTTGACTTCCTTACATCCAAAAATAGTTTGTTTTAAAGGCTGGGATCTTTCATATATTACTTTTAAGACTTCAAACTACTATTTAAGATGAGAAAAGAATCGATTTTTTCAAAATTTCAAACTGTCCTACCCCCTTAATATACATATATAATAATATGAACAAAATGAACATAGATAATTTATTGGCTCGAGAAATAATAAATGAAATAAATTATTTTCTTAAAAAAATTGTTTACAATATAGATATGATAACATCGTTTTCCTTTTTTGTTAAAAACAAATCACTAATAACAAACCATTTATTCAACATTTTACTTAATTACAAATTGGTAACTAATAATAATTAATTTTTGACTATTATCTACTGATAATATGCACAAAATTAACCATCATTGATTGACTAGATTCTTTAGCTGATGAGAAATTGGAAAAAATGCGTAAATAGTTAATGGTAGGTAATGTATTGAAATTGTTTAAACTACAAAAAGTAATTTAATCGCCTGCAGATTAACAATATACTAGGCCTTAAGTAAAGAAAAGTGCTAAATTCATTGTAAAGTAAACAATTAAAACTGAATAAAATTTTATACAAATAATATCACATCCTTTAAAGCCAAGAAATTAAATAATTATAAATACAAACGAAAATCATTTTTGTAAAAATAAAATATTTGTAATATAATATATATAGTATATAGTTTTTATATCAATGTGACATAAATACTTGTGAAAATTCACAATTCAATCAAATCTAATTTTGTTGATAAAAAACATTTCCTAAATACTAAAAGATATTTTTTAACGTCGTTTAGTTATATTACTCGATTTACTTTCCTTTCAGCTAACGTACTATTTTAAACGTTTGTTAGATCTAAATTAAGTCTGTATAATTTCAAAATGTACACTGTATAATGGGAAACTGCTAAGTGCATATTAGTAGTTACCAATATTAACAAAATATTATTCCATATATGACAATTTAATATTTATTGTCAAAGATAGATATCTACTTATTTTAAATGTCTTAATAAGAATTGAATGATTATAGCATATTAATGACAACATAGTAAAGTCCATAAATAAATCTTATGAAATATTTTGTATAATGCAATTAATTACAACCATAATACAATTGAGAAAAATATTTGAGCATTCTAAATTTCAAGTTAATTTGTATTTTAGTAATACATTTCCATTTTTCTCATAAATCCTAATAGTAAGTCAAATGTAAAATGTACTAATGAATCAAATATTAATTAAACTTAAAATAGTCAGTCAAATGTTATATTTTAATGTTATAGAATATATTTAGTACCATAAAAGAAATAAACAAACTAGTACTTCCAAATTTGATAATATGAAAAAGGTGTTAAAAAATATTTAATAATATAACTATAATATGTAATAAAATACAAAAATACTAAATAATATCAAATTTAGTAAAATAACTCCAATTAGCAAATACATTTTGCTTATTATTATTATAAAGATCTTTCTATATATAAAATAATATTTACATCTCAGTCAAACAAGAGAAGAAGCAATATAAAATTTTGGAAAAACAAGCAATCTCTTGTAAATTTATTTTAACTATAATTATATAAGAAAATTAATATATTACAATAAATTACATTTCAAATCTTTGTCTCATGTCTCTTAAATATAAATATTGATACACAATTGGGATCACTTTGATAATTTAGTAAGTAATAACTTGAATGATTATCGGTACAAAAGTATGCTGTAATATTCAGAGATATTTATGTGTAATATAATTCAAATTTTCTTTATCATTCATATTTTGCGAAATTACAATTATGTTTAATTTTTTACATAGAAATTAAATTTTTCTTTTTAACGAAAGTTATGATAATGTTAAAACGAATTTAGCGATATGTATTAAAATGGTCAATAAACAATTTTTATGGAAATTTTATGAATATATACAGTGAAACTTAAATATAAAAATGTGAAATATACAAAAATTATGCAAATTTAGTTTCCTATTTTAACAAATACTTGTCACATATAGTTAAATTTTGTAGAAAACATTTTTAATATCTTAAAAACATTTTCGTTTTGAACTACAATGCCAGATACTGACACAATTCATCATCTATAAATAAAGATCAAAAGATATTCATGCAATGATAATCTTCTAATTTGCTGTTGCTCTAAAAATTTTGTAGACATTCAAAACATTCATGTATGAAATATCCGTTAAGTTTTGATATATTTATTAGTAAAATTTCTCTGTAACATTTCTTTAAATATTATTTAATAACAATTTTAATACATATCATTAAATTTGTTTATCATAAAAATTGTTTCATTGTTTGTAATAATTTTTGTTATAGAAAACAATTTCGCTTAAAAAGATAAAAATGACCTTGAAATTTTGAAAAATATAAGTGATAGAAAAAATTGAATAGCATTTTATATGACTCCTTTTGAACCATATAGGATTCATCTAAAATAATTTTCATTAAAATTCTTACTTATTGAAGTCCTAATGTGGTACTACTTTATTTTAAAGCATTAAGTACTTTTAAAAAAATAATGGTGCAAGAAAGTAAATTATATTAAAATAGATTTTAATAGATATTTTATAATATTAATCATTTTCACTCAGCGGACTTATATGCACTTAATTTTCCATTATACTGCACATTGGTTATTAGCAAGTTGCAAGTTGCATATATGCTTAACTACTATATAGTTTCCATAATTCACATTTATCTAAAAGCTGCATAAATAAGACATCACATTTTAAGTTATTGCATAAATGACTTTGAGCCTTGTTACATTAAGCCCATTATTTGAAGTAAATAAAGGCTAATGTATTTAATGTCCAATGTAATCATGACTATTTTTCTTAGATATAAAAGGTATTCGTTTAATTATACTTTAAACCTGTTGCATATTCCAGGCATCCTGTAAAATAATATCAATGCCACTTTTTATTTTTGTCAGTTCATAAAACACACAAGTATGTACCTCTAAATGGCAAAGAAAATGTCTACACTCTGCTTTGAACTTTTTCTACACAGCAAAAATATAAAACCATTAAATGGACTATTTCATATTTATTTAGTACTTTAATTAAGCAGCATAACCATTTCTGATTAATTCAATCAGCCCTTTGAATTTACCTACACATGTGTACGCATGTATAGCGTTATGAAGTATCTCAAGAAAAAAAAGAATATGATCATCAACAAAGGTGCAACGCAATAGGGTTCTAATGTAAAAAGTGTATTATCTATAAATATTTCTGTATTTTTCAGTTATAGATAGAGTAAACGTGATGCGGAAAAGCACTATACGTGATAAATCTTATGCATAATGTTAATGTTATGTACAAATATATAATTACATAATTCGAAAATAGATTGCCTTTGAATTCTTGTTATAAAAGCTGTTCACAGAATGAAATATGTGAACTCTGATATGCTTTAAAGAAATCCAAATACAGAAGTGAATAAGAGAAAGATAGATATTTATAGGCCATTTTTATATATCAAGCATATCCTACTTCAGTGAGACTACACGCTGCCTCTATGATGGTGCAAAACAAGATAAACGACATTTTAATATCCTTGCAAAAGTGGAAAGAAGAAATATATAAATATGTGTATGTATGTATACATATACATACATATACACACACATACACGCGCGCGCACGTGTATGTAAGAAGGTAGCAAACATAGGACGCTTAGAATATCTATAGAACTAAAGACTAAGAAAAAAATTAATTTAGAAGTAATAAACATACCATAAAATTATGTTTACAAAACATATTTAAAATGCATACCGGAGTAGTCTGGTTATGTAATCTGGCCAATTGTCTGGGAACATCACGAGAAAGAAGCCAACTGCTATAAAAATCATTCCTGCCAACTTCATGCCCATAAAGTGGGCTCCGTATAAAAGAACATCCAATGCTGTAACATCGCGATATTACATAATTATCGAATGATAATAATTACAAATTAATTTAATAATGTCTCATTTTTACCGTACCAGCGGATACAGGTACAGCGGTGATCAATCCTAGCGTAATGAATAGGTCGTAGGTCAGAGCAATACTGAAGTTACCAAGCATGTTTGCAACTACCAAATAACAATAAAACGTAACTTTAATGTTTGTTTCTGACTGTTTCTCGTATCCAGAATACTTCGAAGTTATGAAATATACAAATTCTTCGTAAGAAGAGTTCTATAATAAATGATCATAAAACGAATCTGCTTGTTATCACTTAATTGGGACGACATATACGCTCAGGTCAAAAACCAATTATTATATGAAAAATTAAACTTAATGATAATTTTCGAATAACGTAAAAATTAACAACGTTTCATTTATTAATAATTATTAAATGAAAAGTTGTCTTTTCTTTAATATCATCTGAAGACAACTCAAGTTCCAAAACACCAAAAGAATTTTAATTCGTTATGACACGAAGAATTCGTATATTTTGCCTTGTATATTCTTATATGATTTGAAGACGAATTCTGGATAAACGGTTGACACGGATAGATAAAAATACTAACCTAAATGCAAAATGCTTGCCGAAAGTAGTGCTGTCCATGGTAATTGACCCCAGTGTATACTTTCTGCACCCGAGAAGTAAAGAGCCAAACAAACTGGCCATAACAATGCCGCATTACACAACCCGATAAGAGAAAAGAATAATGACATTTGACCAAATGTTGTTTCTCCTATCACTTTCTTAAACAGCACCTAGATTAATATTATATTATCCTCTTTTACACAGTCCATTGAGTAATTTTGAATATCTGTTTAACACTAAACCTACCACAGCCTAAATAACTTCTTATTTTTAATTAAAAATTCTATCATTTACTTCACAATTTTTCTTATAATATACAGTGTGATTCAATCAAATATCTAAGTTATTTCCATTATTGTTAAAGACAGAAAAAGATGCTAAAGTGATATTTGAATGATTTCAAAACATGGATCTGACAGAGAAAAAAGAATTCTGCCAAGGTCATGTTAATGGATTTTTCAGGAACATAAGCATTTTTTTATACTTGGTATTAAGACAAATTCAATGACCTATAATGACATTAAAACTTTAATGTTTGATTTAAGTGAATCAACCTGTATCTATGTGTGGTGTATTGTATAGGAAAATTACAGTAAAGATGTATTTAAAACACTAAAATAGGGAAAAAGGTTCATATAAATGTAATGTGCCTTGTGTGATCTTATTTTACAATTACAGTAATGGCTACTTTAGTGTCTATAGTTGAAACAAATCCTGATAAGTAGGGAAGTAACTTTCTCGAATACAGTTGAAGGAAGGAGAAAGAATGAATGTAAGGACTAAAATAACTGAAAGAGATTTTTATTTGGTAATTTGTTCAATCAAATGTCTAATCATAGTAGGTTTAATGTTAAATACGTTTAAACAATAATAGTAAACAAGATAAAAACTAAAATGTAAATTTAATATTGTTTAAAGTAGTGATTGCCAACCACTATATAGCAACACACTAGTGTATTGCAATAATTTTTAGGTACATTGTGAGAATTTTTTAAACATGCAGCCAAAGATACATCTCTTTTCCTTTAGATCTTCAAATAAAAAGTGATAACATTAACACAATAACAATTATTTGATGCGAGTCAAAATTATGATTTGTTGATCAATGAAATAAAGATATTTTTGAAGTGCAAAGGGAAAATTTCTGCAAAAAATAATTTTCTTATGAAAAAAATTTTTTTTTTTTATTTATTTTTAAATGTAATCACTCTCTTTCAGACTGTACACACCACTTCCTGCTATAATCTGTATTTTTTGGTGTACCACAAGAATGAAGTAATTAGTTCATGTGTATATGTTATATGTGAGACAAAAAAGGTTGAAAATCACTAATTTAAGGGTACTCATTTAAAAATATTAATTTTTACCTTATAAACTGCAGAACCAGCTGCCGCAGATGTTGCCAAGACAACACCTCCAAGAGTAGGACTTCCAGTTATACCATCCATGTATGCTAAAAGTGCAATTCCAGTATTGCATAAAATAACTGCTACTATCTGCAATGAAATTATTCAGAATTGTTATATCAAAATTTTATTGATACAATTAATTTGATATTGATCAATGGTTAGAATTACAATACAATTTTTATGGAAATACGCTACTAACCCTTACTCCAACAAATTGCTCATGAAGAATAACCCATGATAACAGATACACACAAGACACGTTCGTTGCGAAAAGTGCCATAACATCGGTAGCTAACAGTATCCTGAGCGAATAAATGTACATATAATTTGTAACTACCCAAAGCCCACAGAAAAGGCTACATCTGATCAGAAAACGACCACCGGTAAACCCTTTGTCACGGAAACCTCGTAAACTCTCTGCAATTATTTCGGATGGAGTATTACATTTAATTCTTGCAGATTGACAAAGAAAATAAACTGGGAAGTAAAGAATTTCCCAATTCGTACAAAACCAGGTTGTGAAGAATGGAGCATTATATGAAACCTGAAAAGGTATAATATAAATTTTAAGATAACGTTGTACCAGAAAATATATTTTTTACTATACGGACTATTTAAAACATGGAGTTCAAAGCTAATAATACTCACAGAGAGAAGTAAAAATTGTTTAATCAACTTGAATTCTAAAATCAATTCTTTTGGCATAACATTGCCTTTCACTATTTACGAATATGTGATAGTCGATTTTACATCGTAAGGATTGACGTTAGAACTCATGTTGATTAACATTTTATAGGTTATTTTTTTTTACTTTTCAGTAATTAGTACCATAAACTCTACAGAACTTGAACTCTATTTTTTAAATACCCTGTACAATATGAATTAGTTATATTAATTATTACGCGAATGAAAAATAAATGATTCGGTGCGATTAATAAATTTTTTAAGGATGTGATTATCACAAATTTTGTCATACAATTTTTTTTATTCAAAAACTTGTGTTAAAAACCCCATTATACATATATGTATATATTTGTTAAAGCATGCAGATCATAAAGAGACAGTGTAAGAATGTGCAGCTAAATTATATAGGATACGAATAAATGTATATGTTTAAATATATTACAAAGGAATTTTTAAAAATTGCAGGGATATTTAATTTTTCAAAGAACTTTTATTGTGGAAACCATGACTGCTGAATTGTTTATACACATTTCGAAAACACCATCATAAAGTCTAAATAAAGTTTAAAAAATCTAAATATGAATTAGAGAATGAATCGTTTTCCGAATTTAAAGTTAAAAAATTAACAAGAAAATATTAACAACCCATTTTTAATTATGTAGGAATATTATTATTCAAATATTAAAATATGTTTGTTATGTAAAATTTTTAAAAGATATATACTTTTATTGTTATTTTACACATTATTTATATAATATATGAAATACAAATATTATATAAAACGAACATTTGAATTAAATATTAACCTTTTATGGTTGAAGAATTTGTGTCAACAAATTATATTAATAAAATTAAAATTAGAAAATAATTCAACGATATATACAATATTTACAATATGACATTTATTGGAGATATGAATCGTGGTGGCGCTAGTGAGTTAAATGGAAAAGTATTTAAGACTGCCTTAAAACGCTTATTCGTGAAATGGTTAATTATAGTTACACCAATTTATATTTATGAAACAATACTGTTCCAACTTTTGTCTTATACTGTATTTCAAAAAAATTGTACAATGGTCAAATAATGTGACTGACTTTTCATAAATGACCCATACAATTTACAAAGATCTACTGATACATCTAACTCTAATTTATTACGATCTGTTTAACACAAATGTTTAAAAAAGATCATATTTATCTGAATTTGATGAAAATTAAGGAAGAAACATAACAATTAAACATACTTACATCTTGATGATGTCCTGTAATAGATGAATTAGAAAATGATGAATAATTAGAAGTTTCGTGTTTGTGAAAATATAAATATTTGATACAGTGTGTCGCACCGACCCAACTTGCCGTGACACATATTGTGACGCACACTCCAAAATATATCTGAAATTATAATACACGATTACTTTATAAAATAATATATAATAATAATACAATACTTTATAAAATTCTTCAAATTATACATACAATTTTAAAATACAGATGTATAAAATTACCGAAAATAAATTTTCTTTTACTTACAATTACTTCATAGTTCTGTAATATGTTAAGAAGAAGGAAGAAAAGGAGTGAATCATACAAAATATAAAAGAAAAATTTTAAAGGATCGATATGTTCCCCAAAAGTAGCAAAAAAATTAGCAAAAAACATAAAATACCATGAAATTTTGAAGTTTAGGTAATTCACCATAAAAAAATAACTTAAAATTTTTAAATAAACTTCCTTTACTAGCTTCCTATTTTTTTTACTTATATGATAGTATTATACTTAATTTAAAGAATTATTACTTGTTATAAATACATATATGATAAGAAAAGATTATAAGAGCAAATAAAGCGAAATAAAATCTTAAATTGCAGGAAAAAAAACAGAAAAGCTGTGAGATTTTGAAAATAAAGATTTCTTATATTATAAATTTTTCTACTTTTTTCCGTTATTACTAGACAGTCAAATGAGTATCATTGAATATTAATAGACCTTTTTCGCAGATTCGGCACAACAGGATGCATAACAAGCGGATAAAGAATTAGGCCTTTGTTGATAAGTGACTGGTGGTACTGTTACATGGGACTGGACTTGAGTTTGACTCGTATTGTGTCCCTGATTATCTGCAACACCACCAGGACTAATTCCGCCTCCACTTGCCTCCAGAGGACGACAACTCGGTACAGAGTCACCACAGCCACCACTAACGCTACATCCTTGTTGCTGTTCACAGCCTACATACCCAAGTATATGTAATAATAAAGTAAAAATTCTTTAAAATTTCCAACAAAATTTATGTAATAATAACAATATTAATATCATATCACGTCGAAACATAATTTAGCTATAAACTAAACTAAACTCATAATTCATAATTCATAATGTAAGTATGAAACAGGATAAACACACAAATTCTTAAAAATTTATATTATAGTGGAATCCGGCTCAAACAAGACCAGGATTCGATTCGGATAACCAAAAATTCGGATAATGACACAAATAACATAGTTTATATATGTACACTTTATTTACATATTAAATATTTTATATACTTTACATATAGTGATACATATTAACAGTATATACATACAAAGTAAAAGACATAGAGGGTGCGTCACGAGAACCAGGACATCTAAATATTTCTGTCACGTACCATTGCACTAAAAAATTTTTGAAAACGAAGTTTCACTGCTTGAAGAGAGATGTATACAGTGATAACAAAAATGTTGGAGATTCTAATCTCTCGCCTAAATGATGCGTGGCGTACTGCTTCCATTGACAACGCTCCAAGTGGGGCTATGACGTGCCAATATATTATTTTCTTATATAGAGTATCCTAGCAACGATAATACAACCAGGAAGGAAGTGATTCTACATTCAGAAACGAATCGAAAAAAAAGAATAAAATTTTTTGATTTGAAGCTTCGTTGTTGAGGAAATCAACTTTGAATATCCACCGATTACGCTGATAAACTGAGGTCTATTCACCTTAGACAAAGTTAAGTGCACGCGTACTTGGTGAATATTCAAAGTCGATTTTCTCGGAAACGAAGCTTCGAACTAAAAAATTTTATTTTTTTCTTTTCGATTCGTTTTTACATGTAGAGTTACCCCATTCCCAGTTGTATTACCGTTGTTGGGAAAAATTAAAGTATAATTTTTCTCATTTTATGTATTATTTTCTTTCTTCTTACTTTTTTTCCTAAACGTAAATATTATATATATACACAAGTCTTCATTCTTTGCACATACACGTTGAATTCCGTTGCATTCTTCACCCTTGCTTTTTGCGTCCTTAAGTTAATAGTAACCAACAAAAAGAATTCTTTCGAGGTAATTTTTTTTTTACCCGATTTCAAGGTCATCTATAATTTTTCTTTTTTCTTTTTAATAGCCAATGTCAATGTGAATTCATCGACATAGCACACTATGACCTTTTAAAAATATAACCTATTTGTACTTTGCGAAAAAATTGTACAATCTAGATGAATAGAAGATTCGGATAAGTGGAGTTTCACTGTATATCATTTATAATATTTATTACATATTACATTGAGACAAATTATAAATATTAACCCGTTGAAGATGGGACTTCTTTTTACGCAGGAACTTGTCTGGGCGAGTGGTTTTGAAAGGAAAAAACGAAAAAAAAAAAAAAACGATAATTTCGAAAGATTATGATGTAAAAATTATAAACCTTATTTTACATCAATAGTATCAAACTCTGATAGGAACTTAACGCATCAAGAATATTTTTAAGGAGTTTGCCGTCCAGAGAAAAATTCTATCGATACAAAAATTGTAATAAACAAAAAAAATCATTTATGTATATCCGAAAGTTTAGATTTTACATTTATTTTTTCTATAAAAGATACTTAAAATGTTGTCCATTTTGGTCAACACGCATGTATTGTCTGTCAGCAAGTGCTAATGGCACATCATTTGAACACATTTAAAGAATAAAAAGTGATCTTCAAATCTCGATAAAAAACAAAAGTAGAATAAAACTGATTATTGCAGTGGATACCCTGTTTCATATCTGTACTTTTTGTTTGAAATATTTTCTTATATAACAAACAGTTTTCGAGTAATTTAGGTGGACCGACCTACATGTATATAGGGTGTCCTACGTTTTCGTGTAAACTTCACCAGTTTATTATCTAACCTCTAAAATGGCATGTAATAAAAAGTCCATGAATTCCATAGTAAGAAGTTATAATAAAAATATAAAAGCGATCGCTAACCTGGGAAAACATTTGGACACTTATGTGGACAATATCGTCATTTAATTCGTGATCAAGTCTGGCAACAGTGTCGTAACTAGAATTTTTGTCACCTTTTGCAATATACGAAAAATATTGTAAATTCCCAGTAAGTGTTGTGTCGCCAATTACCGATGACAATTATAAATATAGTTGTTAAAAACTATATAATTGTTAATCGAACACTAAAAAATATTAAGTTACCATAAATCAGAGAATATTCAAAAGTGTGTCTTATGTAAAAGTGGATTTCACAATCACTTATCAGAGAACTATTGCAAATATATATTTTGTATATCTTTTTATACACTTTCGGTCCAATTATACTAATTTTTACATTTAATATCATCTGTCTCCTTTTTGAATTATTCTCCTTTAAATATTTTTTTATGCTATTTTTGTCATATCTTATTAATTATGGCATTAAATACCTAGCAAGTATTTCAATAAGAAGCATGAACTTAGCAATCTCATCAAGACAAGCAACGCCTGAGACTTTATAAAAGTCAGAAACATTGATATCTCACGCATTAATCTGTTAAACCTACTCTGTCCTCGACGCGCCAAGTAAAGTGTAAAAAATGATATCATATTACATGTTTCTTGAAAAACGTTATTTCGTTATAAAAAAAAAGTATGGTATTTCGATTAAAAATATCAACATAACCTTGAAATTTTCTCTAAAGAGTATCAACTACGAATCAACAAATATTGTTTCTCATTTTCAATCTCACGAAACTTATGAAATATTTAATTACTTTTACTAATTTAAATATACTATAGGATTCCATACTCTAATATTGAAAATTAATTTTATCTCTTCGATATGATTTATCCCACATAAAAAATGATTATTAAATTTTTTTGATATATTAAAAAAATGATATTCTACATATCAAAATCACTTGATTAATCTACAATTTTTTGTAAAATGTAGTATATTTATATAAGTCGTCAATTTATTAAAATTTATATACTTTTATGAAGCTATTAGTTAAGCATCTTCTTTGATCATTATTATTTAATAAAAAGGACCAACATCTTGTAAGTACTTACTATAGTAAAGTAACTGACATTAACGATTTTTCTTTTTCTTTTTTGCGTAGTTAATATACAATTTGAATAACCACTAGTGATGTGATTAACCTTTAGTGTTCGCTTTCGTGATTTATCACGTCGTAGTGGGTTTCGTAAATCACACCTCGTACAATAATTTAAAATTCAAAGTTTGCTAAATAATAATAGAGCAGCAAATCTATGAGATTTACCAGTTCTTGACAAATTATTGTAATTATACTTTTTCATGTTACTGCAATCTGATTTTAATATTTTATATAGCGTTGTAAACATGCAAATATTCAAACGAAACATGACACAAAAAGGCATACATTAATGGAAATAGTACAATATATCCTGGTGGAATCTAAAATATTAATTTTTAAGTAAACCAAATTTTTTGCAATTTGTAAATACCATCTCTTGGTAACTCAAAACAAATTACAGGATAGCTTTTTGATTTTCTCGTAGAATGGAGTTCCAAAAAAGAAGAAAACTGGTAGGAGGAAAATATAAAAACATGAGAACATTAAAATTGTTTCATGTTGAATGCACAGATTACGAGAGCATTGATACTTTCTTTTAGGATGATTATAGAGATAAAAATTGAATATTATTTTAATATTTAAATGTCTTTTTATTTACAAAATTAAACAATTAAACCTAAAAATCTACTTTGGTTAGCACTGGACGCATGTTGACATACAATCAATTTTGTCCATCCGTTATACAGGATGCACCAGCAACGGTAGTATAATAAAATTTTTTTATTCGAAACTTCGTTATCGAAAAAATCGACTTTGAATATTCACCGAGTACGCATGCACTTAACTTTGGCTAAGGCAGATGGATCATTAGTATACCAGCATACTCGTTGGATGTTCAAAGTAGATTTTCTTGACAACAAAGTTTCAAATGAAAAAATTTTACCAAAATTTCCAAAAAATTTTGCTTTTACCAAAAAGATCAGGGTTATTTCAACTACATTATATAGGAGAATTCCTTTGAAATATAAGGTATGAAAACTTTTATGGGTGATTCTATATATCTATGTTTGTAACTTTTTTATCCAGTATTGTAAATGGAATCAAAACAAATTCAAGGATGTCATGAAAAATTACTTTTCTTTAATAACTTGTTTAGAAAATCATTCTGAAGTAAATATAATAAGATTTGTTATTAATGTATAAATTAAATATCAACATAATTGAACAATATTTTATAGAACTATGAGAATAAAAACTAAACACAGTTGTTATAGATTCGTTCTCTTGTTGGAAGGACGTAATTGCATTATTATTGAATATCTAATAAGTGCTGTAACTGCATATGGCCTTCTAAAACACAAAGTTTTACTCTTTTCATTAAACATTGATGTGTAGAAGCAAATAAACTACGCGAGTCAACTTTATATGCACATAGTATCCAATCTTAACGTTCTTCGATTAACAAGTTTCATAAACAATTAATTCTAAATATTTTTAAAAATAAAAGTTTAGCAAATCTAAGATTAAATAAATCTGACAACTCCTTTATTTGTTACATATAATATACTGCAAATTTAAAATACATTTAGTAACTATTATTACGTACTACGAATAAGAGGTTAAATATGCACCAACGTTTACAGTTTACATTTAGTTATGAAGTGTTGTTGAATTATGGTTGTGTTTAGTATGTACCTTAATAAGGAACTTCATTGTATTTCATAATAGCATTTTTGGATTCCATTAAATTTATTTTTATTTTACCCAAAATAGTGATTAGAAAAAATTAAATAGTGTCGTTTAGAAAAATAATCCTTACTTTTTATTGAAAAAGTTTTTAGATAATTTTAAATTTGTTATTAATTAAGTACAGACTAATTTATTTTTAACACCATTTTATTAAATTATAATAAATATTTGAATGATCGTGGCGATCATTACGATGAACACCTTGTGTATTGTATACTTATATATTGAAATAACATTATCTATGTAGATATAACTTAAAATTATAATTGGAATTATATTAAGAATCACTTCTTATAAAGAATAACTAGTTAATAAAATGTAATTCTTTGTAAGAATATATTCTGAGTTACATCTATCCGGTTATACGATACGGCCCTGAACATGGTTACATCAAGCGGGATTGTTGCTTACTTTTAATTTGACTTCACTACATCGTTTCTGTTGACTGTTTCTTATAATATTTGTGTAATATATCACTATTTTATTCTTGAACCTAGATAGAACCTAAAACTAAATCTAAAAACTTAAAAAACTTATAAATTTATTTCATTTATTTTAAATTATAAATCCGGATCCTTATAAATTAAAATAGTAATTAATAATAATTTCAAAATAGGAGTAACCTTTAAAAGAAAAGCAATATACAATAAATGTTATCCATTTTAATAAATATTAATTATGTTAAATAATTTGAAAATTTCAATAACTTTTTCAATTTTGAACAATACATTTTCATCTTTCTTCCTTTCTTTTAGTAGCATTAAAATATAAATAAGAAAGTGATGGTACTTTTGAATAATTCGTACTAAAATCTATGGACGTGTAGTATAAAATAAATAAGAATTATTTAATTTATAATTTATACAATTAGCTTCATATTAATTTACTCCTTTATATGCTATACTTACTCAAAATTTTTAATTTAATTTAAGTAAGTTTTAAAGAAATCAATATAGATATTGAATAATTTAAATGAAGTATTAAATAACTATTACCAAATCTAATTTTAGGTAAGAAAATAACATATTTTATTATAATAACTTATGTACAAAACTTTAGTATTTTCTGAATATTTCTTTAATTTTTTTGAAACTTCAATAATTGATTATGATGTCATATAAATTACAAAATTAGTTTCTAATGTAATATAAACTTTGTAAACTAGTATATATTATATTCTTATTTTATGAATGCACATATGTTATGTTAATTAGATAGTTAATATGGACTTACCAGAATTATCATGAGTAACTTGACTAGCAGTGTTTTGAGGACCATGATTTTGCTGATTATCACCAAGAATAATACTTGGGGTATGAGCCTGCTGGGGATGAAATATTGTAGAAATATCCCCGACTCCTCTGCTACCCATGTTTAAATTTGTTCTTTGAAACATGTAACATTTGTTGTCATCATGCTTATATAAAAGTGTAATATTATTCTATATTAATTTATATGAAATACTTTTTAAACACATAAAATACTAGTAATATATCTTGTTATAAAAGAAATACTAGATACCATAGTAAACATATTGGTACAAATTCTTTATAGTATGTTATTTTAAGTAACTACTTTAAAATTTAATAATATTTTGTATTATTACATCTAAAAGATGACCAAAGCTATATACTTTATATGTACCAAGGTGTAACATATTCAACATATTCCTTTTTAGAAAATAATGTGGTTTACAATATATTTTCCACATAATTTATGCTGTGTAATAAAATTATGTAATTTAGTTTTGTAGTGTCTGTATTTGCAAAAATAAAAATAATTTATAAAATTTTCTAATATTGAACAATTTTACAACAAAAAGTAGTCATCTTATACTATTTGTAAAATTCTAAACTTTGTTATTAAAAATCACATGTAAGTAAACTTAAATATAATA